AAATATGGTTGTATTTTTGAAGCAGTTTTTACCTGCTTTTTATAGATTTGTTCTGTTTTGGTGATTTAAAGACATCTAATTAAACCACAATTAAGTTTAAAAAAAGTACTGATTTACATGATGACTGTAAACAATGTCTACAACAAAAATCTATATTGAAATAAGCTAAAAATATCATTATTTTACAGATAGCTGGCATCATTTTCAACGTTTTTGAACATTACAGTATTCAATTGTTGTTGTTTTTTTACTGTATTTTTTCAGGCACCAAGATTCACCAAGGTTGTTTACAGATTTGTAAAAAATGTTATTTTACAGTGTTCTTGATCAATAAAGTAAATGCAGCATGGTTTAAAAACAGTATACAGCATGGTGAAACACTATTGAAGAGCTGATATGTAGAATGCTGTCAAAAATGTCGAGTTCATAGAGGCTGTAAAAATGAATACCCTTAACAAGTAGAGCTACACCTGTGGGCACTGGACAAATGTAGTACATGTTGCTGTTATCTTTGACATTTGTACATTTTTGTAAAATAAATGTTCAAGGAAATAACTTCTTTTTTTTATGATTAATGGCATTGTTGCTGTGTCCTAGTGCGCAGAAGAGATTGTGGATGAGATTTCGGATTCACTCACTTGTCGGTGTTGTTCTCCAGCAGCAGCCAGCGGTCCTCGGCCACCAGGAACACTGATTTCAGGTTGATGGGAAGTGAGATGGAGTGAACCCGGCCCTCCAGCACATCCAGCACCTCCAGCTGGTTGCTGTAAAGACAAACGCAGAAATCCTCAGGCGAGTAATCTGCACACTGGAAGTATTTCGATTACTTTTTGTGACTCATAATCCTTTAATTACACTTACTGCTAATGGGACGTATAACACTTTTTTAAAATCTACATGTTGCTTATTTCTGTTACGAACCAAAACACAAAGTCAATTAAAATCCCTTGTATGTGGAAACCTATTTACTACTGCAATAAAACCTTTCTGATTCTGATACCGTAGTACAGCTGAGACTGTGCTGGTAAACAGTGCAGTTAGAGGAACTTACCCGTCCTCCTTATAGAACAGGAGCCAGTTTTTGTGGGAAAAGTCACGACACATTTTATAGCCGCCTCCCTGCAAACACAAATCAACACACACATTAGGAGTTATTGCAACTTGTAAGTAGAATTTTTAATTAAATGCATTCCTTGGAAGTTATTTTTGGTGTTTAATGAGACATAACGGCAGAAATTCCGATGAGAAAGCTGCATTTTTAAGGAGCCCTCTTAAAAACAGAGGGGTTTTACTTTCACATTATTGCAGTAGCAGGTGGTGGTGGGTCTGAAAGTTGGTGCTTTTTACTAATTACTTTTTTACAATTTTTCATCATGGTAAATTATTGTGTTTGTTCAGGTTTTGCAGCAAACTCTATCAAACAACAACACCTGGTAAGTCTACTACTGGCTCCCCTCAAACCGGGAACTCATTTCTTTTCTCAGGCTCATCAGCAGAAAGCTGTGGTCCATCTTATTTTTTTTTTGACATTTTCAGGCTCAAATCTACTGAAATTATCTATTATTTCTTATTTCTTATTGTTAGGTCGAGCTTTGCACATTTATACACATTTTTTTTTAACATCTAAATAAGAATTCTTCATTGAATTTGCACAATTGTTCTCATGAGTCACCAACCTGCAAGTTGCTCCAAACAATGTCATCTGTGTCAATAATGCAGTGCAGTTCATCACCAAAAACACACATGTAAAGTGTTTGCTAGTCCTTCGGTAAAACTGTTAAGAGGTTTGTGTGTTGAATGGATGGAGGAAACTATTCCTGTAAGTTCATTCACATTTCTCCCTGGATAAAACCTCTGACCTGTTGTTCTTTGCTGTTCCACCAGTTGGAGGCTTTAGGTGTTGGCTGTTCGCTGTCTGGAGACAACGTGAGCCTCCGAACGGCACCGGTTACCAAGTCCAAATGAAGCACCGTGTTGCTCTGTCAGACATACAGAAAGAGGGATGAAACCTGCAGAACACATCTGGAAATACACTTCACCTCCAGGAGGCAGCTGTGTATTTTCTGTGTTCATTATTATGTAACAGACAAACAACTCAAATCACAAAAACAAGCAGGAGTGAT